ATACTACAAACTATATAAACCATGAAACCTGTAGTTTTCTATGATTACCCTGACTTTAGATACTTTTAACTCCTCTGTTGAAGATATTTCATTCACAACTCTGTTTACTCTTGCTGTAATCTTTTAGTATCTTGTCTCTGTCTCAACACAGCCTTCACTTCGATGCTCACGGGCTGGGCCACATAAATACACGCGCATTTCTGCTTCCTGCTTAAAAAAAAAAACCCAAATAAAGTGTACAAAAGCATCTTCTGATTTCAAACACCATCAGCCACACATAAAGATCCACAAAATTACAGGCAGGTTATGTTCACTGAGAAGGTTTCCCAGAGCTCATTCCGGCTGAGCTCCTACTGCTTCATTACCTAACATAAATCAATAACTGTCCATGAGAGCAATTAGCAATGAATAGCATTATTGACCAATTCGTGTCATGACCAAGCTATAGCTCCCTTCTATATCCATCCTTCTACATCCAGCCCCCTATGTACAGAGATAATTGTTGTTCACATCTCAGGGAAGCCTGAACAGAGTTGTGTTGTATTCTGGCAACATATTTTGAAATAAAAGGCCAGAGAAGTCTCTTTCTCCCTGATATCCGATAACCTGCAATTGATGGACAAAAGCCTGACAGCATGAGAAGAAACAGGCTGCAAAGATCACCACCTACCAAGCCTGAGCCAATGCTGTGGGATGGTGAAGCAATCATGAGCTGAATTTGGAGAACAAAACACATGTGGAACAGTGGCGGTACCTGAAAATCACAACTGCTATGAAGTTAAAGACAGAGGATACTGGTAAATAGAAGGGATTTTCAGCACTTCTCTGACTTAGTGTAAGCAGAAGGTGCTTGAAACTGAATTTACGGAGTCTTTCAACACAAAAAGAAAGCAAGTTTGTCTTCCACATAATGATGAGAATCCGTTATTCAAAGGATTTGGCCCTGGGATGATTTGTTCAAATGAATGGTCTGGGAGGACACTTTTAGCACCGAACCTCTCAATGGATTTGAGAGGCAAGGAAATTCCAGGACACAAACTCCAGGCCAAAGACAATATAGCATATTTAAGCAAAGAGAGAAATGTGAATGATGCAATCAGGAGGAAAAATCTTAAGACTCATTACAGAGAGACAAATAGCAAATCTAGCTGCAGCCTAATAAGGCAACATATAAGTGCAGGCTGCATCAAAAATGCCTCAGAGATGGGAACAACATAATTTTCAATGAAATAAAAAAGGCCACAGATAAAAAGCAAGAACAACCAGAAAGGAAAAGAGGCTCAAAAAATATTTCAGGAAAACCAGTACAGCCCAACTTATTAAGATGTATGCAGCCAATATGTAAAGAAGAGTGGGTGCTGAGCCTTGATTAGGAAGGGGCTTTAAGTTCAAAACACAGTGTTCTCCTGTAAGAGCAAATTCATCTTGCAGGGAAGAACATTTGCATGGTCTCCTAAACAAAAAGAAACTGAAAGCATTACAGGATTTTCCTTGAGCCAGGCCAGTACTCACTAGCAAATGTTACTAACTATTCAGGAATAGAAACGAACCTGCCAGAACAGTTTGTTCCAAACGCGTTTCCATAACCTACTTTTAACTTATGTTTGCTTTTAAAGGAAAGCTCTCCATCATAGCTGACCTCCAGTTCAATGGCCTTGAATAGCACTTCTTAGTGTCTGTCATGACATTGGCAACAGGGACGTTTCATTTAGCACTGGAAACAGCACATGCTGAAAGCAAATGAACATGAAAACCAAGTCGCATCAGTTCTGACATATGTATCTGTACATTGGCTTCCATGAGCCTTAGAAATGATTAGCAAGGGAAAAGGTACCTAGAAAAACCTTTCATTACACAAACCTGCACCACAAGACACAGATCTTTCAAGGCTGGAAAATGAAAACCATAGTCTAATTCAAACAGTTAAGGAAGATCTTTGTAAAAAGATGGACGAGTCTAGCTTCATTTAAATCAACAGTAAATGCAGAAGCCCCTGAACTGGATTTTTTCCCCCCTCTAGGATGCAGTGGAAGTAAACTGGCTTCAAAATAAATAAAGCCACAGCCAATGAACAAATCATATGGAGTGTTAAGTAATCTTATTGTTATCCTATTACGACAGCACTTCACTTACTATTCATTACATTAACATCCATGCTTAAATTTAGGCAGGGAACACTTAAGAAATGCAATCAGTTCTGCCACTTACTGCTTTCCTGGGCACTGCTCTTGCACAGCTCCTCCTCCAGCAGCTCTCTCTGCAGCTTCTTTGACATCAATCAGGAAAGAAAATTAAAGACAACTCCTTCAGGCATGGACTAACTCCCTAGGAAAACTGCTTCAATCTATCTGCTGTTTTTAGAGACTGTTTTTAGCCATGTACAATTGTACCAAACAATCTTCTACAGTGGTCTGCAGCATGATCAAACTTCTTTTTTTTAAAATCATCACTGTGCCCCATGCAGATTCAAAAGTGAAGAAAAAGGCTAATTTCCACTATATATTTTTATCCGCCCTTTCTGGTTCAAAATTCTTAGCAATTATTTTACATTAGTTCACAGAAATAATTTCTACCATCATTAAATTCTCTAAATTTGGCTGTGAAAATGTACACAATACCAAGCTAGAAGCCACAGTAGTACTGGGAATGACACTACTGAGCCTGCATACAGCTGCGGCAGCAACAAAAAGAAAAGAATAGGTAATTCTGTAAGAAAGCAAGCAGTAAAAAATAAAATAAGACTAAAATACAGAATATAGAGAAGCCAGAGACAAGTACACGCTCTTCTGATTTGGTCCTGGTATTAAAAGGCAACAACAGATACTTCCAACTCTGCTAGTACAACTAGACATTAAACCTGCGCACGGTCAGCAGCAGGACCCTTCACTGCTCCTTTCCACTCCAGCATGTGCATCTCCTGGCACTATTCTGCTCTCCCATCTGCATCCTGTTTTTACAAACTCAGGGTCTTCCACTACAATACACCTACAGAAAGGGACCAGGAGCCTTCATGAAACACAAGGTCCTAGTTCCTAGGGTTTTAGCCAGAAAGGTCTTCAAAGAATCAAGTAATAAAACGTCTCTAAGCTAAGGGATGTGTCTCACCAAAAGTTTAGAAAAGATGAAAAAGGGTGAAAATTTCAACCAGTAATGTACAAGAACAAAAATGAGTGCTTAGTCCACTCAGCAGCTCTCAGACTTAAATTGCTGCCAGCATTAAAGCGTTTAAAAATACAGAAAAGGAGTGTACTGGAACCACTTAAATTATATTAAATACTGCAAGGCCCTCTAGTGGTTAAATCTTTGACACAGTAAAATCCCTTATTTTTGAAATAAGGCTACTGAAGTTACTGCTGAAGTGTAGTGAAGTTAAGGCACTTATTTTCTATCACTTCCGAGTATCACTTCACTGCTCTCTCAAGGCTGTATCAGAACAGCTTTACTGAACAACTAAAACACTTGTTTCTGAAAAATGCACTTACTTCATCCATTTGTTATAATGTTTTGATATCCTGAAATTTGACAAAAGTCCTTTCAGCACACAGTACTGAACTCCTTGTCTGTCTGCAGTATTTAGTTTTTTCTCATGTCCAGAATTAGTACTAAAATAAATGCTCATGAGGAGGAATTTAACTAAGAAGTTGTCATGGTACAGCTGAAAGGAACAAGCAAATTAGGGAAAAAAAAAACCACAGTTTTTTCCTTCAGTAAGGTATGTTTAAAAGTCATTTTGTGCATACTCCTACAGAACTGATTTGCAAAAGAGAAAGAAAGGTATTTAGGTAACAGGATTAGGGAGGCAAAAATGGGCATCTATTGACAACTAGAAAACGGGTTGCTTCCTAATTTGGTATTTGATTTGCCCAGTTCTTAACAAACCACATTGACTTTGCTTGCTCAATACTTAAGGCGATTTTTTAACTCTTCCTGGCTCTCTGAACGAGCCAAGGGAAGCACGGAACCTAAAATGACAAGGAGCACATTTCACTACAGGCAACTCCACTGCTCAGCTCAACAGCGCTCCACTCTGCTTTCCCAAGCTCCTTTTTCTGAAGACCTCCAGAACAGAAGCAGAAGCTCTCACTCCCTTTTCCCAATCTTGCCTTTCATACACACTTGCCCTTGAAAGCCTGATAGCCAAATGTAGCAGCAGCATCTCTGCAAGTTCCTACCAGGTGCCTCAAAAGCAACTTTCCCTGATGAGACGACTACCTCCCAGTACATCATGTCAACCTTTTTTTATAGATATATATTTATTTACTGGGGGCAAGGAAGATGGTCCTGGCAGCTGGGGAAGGCACCACTGATGAAGTAGCTCAGCAGTCTGGAGTGTTAGAGGGAGCCCAAGAGGAGGGCACGGGCAGGGTTCAAGCAAAGCAGTCAAAGGTGCAGGGCTGACAATCTGTCACTTGGCTGCCACCCACGTGACAAGGATGCATTTGTCTGCATTTGCCACGTGGGAAGTGCTGATATATATATATACACACATATATATATATTCACACACGCGCGCGCGCACACGCACACACACACCCCTGGCAAAGTTCTGCTTACATAATACAACCATTTTTCCTTGGCTTCTTTTAGCTCCAGTTCTGTTAATAGGCAGGAGGAAAAACGCTCTTCTTTCCTATTATGTAATTCAAAACGGACAAGCCAAGCTCTTCACCAGTTCTCTACAGCTGCACATTTAAAAAATAAAACATGCATAGAAAAAAAAATGTTCCATGCTGTTTAGAGATTTTAATGTTTAGGCAAACATTGAGGCACACAAACCCTTTGCAGGCCTGAGATGGAAGCTCATGTCAGTCTAACCACACATCAACGATGTGCACTCAGAACCCAGTGGCTTGGAGAACTTTCTACTGAGCAGCAATCTACAGGCGTTTCCAAAAAGGCCTTTACAGAACCACATCCACATCTGAATCTCAGTAATAGTCACACTGCAATTAAGAACAAAGGCAAAAAACAAACAACAACAAAATCCCCACAGAACCTACCTCATAGAGGTTATGCTGTTGACGAGCTTTTCAGATTGATCTGACAAGCTGGATGGAAGTATTAGTTCAACTGGCTGCAGGCGCAAAACCCGACTTTCTAATTCTAAGCGAGATGCACAGTCCCGAAAACTGTCAAAAATGACTTCTCCAGTAGTTGGTTGGACTGCCTGTCAAATAATATATACACAATGAGTATTTCAGGTTTCAAGGAGAACTTCAGTGCATCCAACTGTGGAGCTAGTAGAAAATCTGTAGTGTGTAGTACAAAAAAAAGATAGACCTCACCACAGACACATGTAGCAAAGTGCTAAAAATACAGTTGTTTTTCATATAGCTATAACTACATTATTACTCTATTACTATATATAAATTATTACTTTGAAAGATTACCACAATAGATGATAACAATACCTTTAAAGATGTTAACATGCTTTTGTCCATCATCGCTCAAATTTTGTAACTATTGAGGACTATGCAAATCTCCATGCTTGGAAGTCTATGAAAGCATGTGAAATTCTGTGTGGAAACAAATTGCCTTCCTAGCACATACTTCTCCTCCCTTCCCCTGCAGTTTGATATTGAACTGTAAGCACAATCAACATGCTTGAAAATTAATGAATTATCCACAGACAAGGCTCTATTTATACTTATTATATATTATATATATATATCATTATACTATATACTTATTATTATACTTATTTCATTATATTTTGCCAGTTTCACACTTCTCAGCTTTTAAAGTTCACTTTTTTTTAAAAGAGAATACAAATCTACAGTGTAAGCCGTAATGACTGCATCGGCCTCTTCCTCTAAAGATATTTTGTAGTGAAAAAAAGTGCTTTGCACACTATCTCTACCAATATTTAGGCTTTAACATTTATAAAGCATCTGAGCTAACAGTCTTCCTGTATTTGGTTAAAACACAGCTTTGCTTTCAAGAGATTATGGCAGAAAAAAATATACATAACACATAAATATCCATACATATATATATATATATATATAGAGAGAGAGAGAGAGAGAGAGAGAGAGAGAGAGAGAGAGAGAGATCTGAAATACTCTACTACCAACTCTAAGCCTTTCCTAAAGTTTTCAACCCTTTCTGGACAATTTTGTTAGTATCTGGGCCTTCTCACGCACACGCACACACAAGAATAAAAAATAAATTCAAGAAGAATGGAAGAAAATAACCACCTACCTCTCAAAAGTCTCCAACCACGAAATGACAATTCTTCTTTGACACTCACTTACCATAATGCCTATAACAACGTCACCTTTCTTCCCGGCTTTTAAGTTTTCTCCATTTTCACAGAAGCAGAGAAGGTAGTTATCAGGGACATCTGTTGTTGTCACCTCTTCAACATCTACAGAATCGTCTAGCTGTAGCAAAGGGTTCACATGTAAGAAACATTAAAAAAAAATAACAACTTGCAGTACACACAAAATTTTGGTGGATTTTTCATAGATCCTTCTAGCCTTAAGTCCTTCCCAACTAGATTCCACATTAGTCCCTCTAGACTGAAGTCTAGTGGATTAAGACCCAAATTTTCTGTGTATCAGTTTGACTCCTAGTATGATCCCAGACGCCCGTCAGCACCAGGGCCAAAGCAGCAGCTGCCTTCACATCACAGGCAGCTGCAAGATGCACAGATTTCTGCTACATCTATATGTTTCCTATTCAATGCAAGAATAGCTACATCAAATTTAAACTGCCTACTGATTCTACATACGGCTAAGTTACCACATTTCACCTTGACTTAATAGCCACAAACTGCATATACATGACAAGGAAAAAGAGAAACCAAAGGACTACATCTTGGCAGGAGCAGCAGGATAATCTATTTGAAAACTTGCTGCGTATCAGGCCACCAGGTTGGGCCATACTGCTGAAACTGCTTTCATCCAATTTGGCAACCACTGCAAGAGAATCTGTACGCACACTAGAAAATCTGCAATAAAAACCCAGGATTATGAGGGATATATTGCCTTTTTCAACAAAGTATTGAGGAGCAGCCCGCTTCTCTGATGTACAAGGAAAAATTCTATCCCTAAGTGCAACCTCCAAGTCATTCATCTGACACACGAATAGGAAACCCATGAAATTTATTATCCCTTTTCCCCTTCCCTGGCAGGGCTCTGGAACCAGCAGCAAATCCGAATATTTTTAAAGCCCACAAATGCAGCCAAGAGAATGATTCCACAAAAGGAAGTAGAACTTAATGAGAATACCAGTACAAGGCTGGACAAAAGCTACTCACAGATCACAGTAAGCTCAAAGCAATTCTTCATACCAATCACTTACTTATCTGAGAAACTAAAGAAACTGAAGAAAAAACAGTAGGGGTAAGGCAAGAAACAGAGAAACAAAGATTGGAAGGAAACAATTCCACTAATCAAAAGCTCCCTTCACCTGTTTCTTACATTTTCTGAGTTGTAAGAGTTAGGAGTGAAACTTCCTAGTCAGATTTTAACAGTCCATTGATTTCAGTACTTTCTTTTCACTTAATGCAAATTGTTGATACCAACCACTCAATTCTACCTTCAAGTCCCCTTGAATCACTAATCCTATAGACCTTCAACCTAGTCAAATACCTAACTGAAAGCAAGGCCCACAGAACACAGTAGAGTTGAGAAATTCACTCTGATTTAGGAAAATGACTTAAGCAAATAACTGCAGGAAACTCAAGCTCTACAGTTTTGCAAGAAAACTCAAGTACTGAAGAGATTAAATTACTTATAAAAGTCTTGGTGATGTATTACCAAAATATAAAATTAAAGGAACTTCATTTCTTGCCGCCAGATCAATTATTCTTATGTCAGCTGCCAGCTACTGAATACTCATGCTAAACCTAGGTGACAATTCAGATATCATAGTTTCTCATACACCCAAGATTAGAGTCTGAAGCCAAACTCAGGTGAAAAGGATATCTTCCCCAATGAGCGTGGATTTCGTATAGAGAGCAGTCAGTTTCCGGCTGAAGAGAGAACTTTTGTTTTCTCCAGCAGCTTTCAGGGCTGCAGTTTCCATTTGTTTTATTACTCCAACCTACAGGCAGACACAAAGACAAGAAGCAACATTAGCTCCCAGGTAAAGGATAACTTTCTTTAGAGAAACGGGGTGACCTCCTAAGAAATCAAACAGCAAGCATAACATTAAAGCAGAACAGGGAGAGCAGAGGCTCTCCCTGTCAGTCCCACTAACAGAAACTAGTAAGACAGAGCTTTTCCTTCTCTATTCATTTCGAATGACCTCCTCAGCTGCCCCAAAGCTTTTTGAGGTATTTTAAAACAATTTAGCTAGAGCTCATCACCTGTCAAAGCATGGCATTGCAATCAAACACAAGACATTTTCTGTAAATAGTAAACTTGACATCACAAAACAGGCATCAACAAAAAATGACAAATTAATAGAGAGAGATCAACAGCAGGCAGGAAAAGCAGGAGAAAAAGTATCAACTGGGATACAAAATAGAAATGAGAAAGGAAGAAAAAAAAAGGCAGAGGAAACATACATTTTTCTTGACCGAATGCAATGACTCAGTATAAGAATCACTGAAAGAGAGAACTGTTACAAAAAATACGAAGCTATTTTTTGTCAGAACAACAAAGGAATTGAATCTGCTTAAATCTCTGACACTCATTGCACAGAAAAATTGAAACAGGTTAAGTCAGCATTTTAATTGCAACAACAGTTGACAATAAGTTTCACACCTGTCAGTTCAAGTAAGAATTCAAATAACTGTACTGCAGTACAATAAGCGCAAATCATTTCAGAGCTATCCTGTATGAAACAACATTTGAAAAAAGCCAGAGGGCACCTTGTATCCTTTGGCTACAAGTCTCCGCACATGGACAAACAGCCTGTGGCTTGGTATGCTGGCAGTCATAAAGTTATGATCTGGATGACAGTAAATGTTTAGTTCTCTAGCTGCAATCTGCAAAGTAGAAAAAGAAGAGTCAGTCGATAATTTACATGATCTACATTAACTGCAATTAAAAGAGAACTTTTCTAAACACAAACACGTCAAAATGCCATTCAGATGTTCACTTAGGTTACAATACTGATTCACAACTATGATTAAGGGTCCAGCAACAAAACTAAAATAGCACAGCACAAAACCCAAAACAAGAGCCAGGTCTCTACACCCTCCAGTCCCAGCATCCTGTCATAGACAAGGCATCAAGACCATGGCATCAAGAACATGGACATGTTAAATTATTCCACTACACCTTGATTTCAACAATGGTGATAAAAGACATACACACAGAGCACATGTGCTTTCTATAACAAAACTCAAAAAAGACCAATAATTTCCACAAAACTGCAGACTGAAAGATGTTGTTTTACTTGGGGTTATAAAGGTGAGGTATGTAAGCCAGTTAATCAACTACTCCATTTTCAATATCAAACAACTGTGAAAGCTGAATACTTACTTGAAAAAGAATGACAACATTTGTTAAGCTATAACATTATAACACATTATTTTTATTTGTTTTTCTGCCCTAGTCAAGAAGGTGGATGTTCATTAAACAGAGAAAGTGGTTCCTTAAATAGGAATTATGGTGAAATACTGAATTATGTATTGGATAACACATTTCTACTTCCAGACTATAAGCAAAGTAGCAAATGAGTACACAAAATAAACAATACAAAGTTGCCAGTAACTAAACAGTAATAAGTTCCTCATAGTTCTTAAATGTGGAAATAGTTCAGATCAAGTGTCTCGTAAGAGCTTTTTCACCCTCTGACTCCCGATCATGAACACCAGTTCAACCCTTGAACTACCTTCCAGGTGATGTTTCCTGGAAAATACTTTCCCGTTCTTAAGAGATCAGACATATTTAGATGCAGCATTTGAATACACTTCCTAACCAAATACGTGCAGTTTTACCTATTATTTTCCATATAGCCATTCTTCTCACACTCCAGATGCTCTCTGAACCCAGGTAGGCCATTGCCCCTACTGTGACACCACTTACTTGCTCCACACTCTTCCAAGCTGAAGTATTTCCACTAGAGACAGCTTTGTGCCTTGATACAGGATACATCTTTCAAAGCGTTTCAACTTAAACCCTGACAAGAAATCACACTCGCACCTGCAGAATTTCCTTAATTCTCAAAATTTGGGGTAGCAGTAGCAACCTTGTAAAATGTGTGTTTATAATGGATACGCTTTAAGAACACGTGGATTTCACACATTATTATTATCAAGAAAATGTAATGAAACTATCTTACTAAGAAAAAATAATTCATGCCGTAGAAAGTGGCCATAACCCTGGTAACTCATTAAAACAATGCAAGTATCCTTCCACAATCCTAGCAAAAATTACCTCTGCATCTTCTCCAAAGAAGCGATATTTGTATCCACATTCCACACACAAAATAGCATCTTTATACTGTTTCTTCATTTCTATGAACTGAAGTTCTAGTGGAGTGTAAATGCTCTTGGTTCTCTTATTAAGATTTACTTCTGAAGTATTCTGAGTATTTTCATAGTTCTTAAGAGGTGCAGAAAACTGACTAAGATCACAGCGTGACTCCTCCTGCAAGTAAGGGGAAAGAGAATGGTAAAGAACCATCAAACAGGTCAATCACTCCTGCAAACTGACATGCAGTCACCTTGTAGTAAAAGCACCAGCAACTGCAGCAAAACTATTAACATAGAAAATACACAATATGGTCTATTTGGAATTAAAAGTTATTAAAATTAAAGATTTTGCATCAATTATTTTATTTGCATTGCAACAGTCGTTAGAAGTCTCATCTGAAATCAATTATACCATGACCTCTCAAAACACACGGTAAGAAACAACCAGGCTGCAAAGACACGGCAGTCTAAACTAGCCAGACAGAAAAATAAAATTAAAGGACGAATTACCACCCTAATTTACAGATGAGAAATGGAAGTGTAGACAGATTAATGATGTTCCAGAAAAAAAACACAGTAAATCAAAAACTAAACCAGTGTGAGTCTCAGTTCACTGTCCTAAGCACAAAATATATTTCTTTCCCAGTCTGCCCTTTCTCCATAAAGCCCAGCAAACATGCCAAAATAATTTATCTTAAACACAGAAAGTCTATATTATAGTTTCTAAGCTCCCTAGCAGCTAAGGTCTTGATTCTATTCTCCCTGCTGCTCATCATTCATGATGACATTATGTTGCCTATGCCAGTCAAGCAACTGTAGCTCTATAACTTTTTTGTTCTGCGTTTTAACTGTGGCAATGGTGGCCACTGATCCTCCATTCAGTCTTCTACAACTACAGTGAAGAAAACTGAAAATCAGAGCCTCACCTCAAACTCCTCATTACTTATACACAACATAATGTATTAATAAAATTGTCTAAAGAAGAAAAAAATATACAGATAACCCTACCACACACATTTTGAAGTGTACTGCTGTACAGAATGTGATGGTCTTGTGCTGTTTCTGGACCTGCAAATAAACCTGGTAAGCTCCAATTTCTAATCCATACATCTAGATCACACAGAATAATGACAACTGGTCATGTAGGATAATTCCAAAAAGACACATGAACAGTACAAATCATGTTCACAAGGTCATGGAGATGCATAAAGAATGCAATGAAAAAAAATCAGAAGGGGGAAAAAATAAAACCAAGCATTTAGCTGTACTGTTACCTAGGAGGTGCAGAGATGTCAGCCCTCACGGCATGACATCTTTGACAAGCAGACAACGCAGCTCAGCACAAACAGTGCTGTACCATCCCCAGGAACTTGGCATTGAAGCTTGGGGGGGCCCTTCCCGCTGGGGACTGAGGTGTCCTGGAACCCAGCGTTAGCGTGGGCTGGCCCAGCAGCACCACCTCGGCTCATTTTTACTGAGAAAACCGTTACCTTTGAGTGAGGAAACATGGGAACCAAGGCCGTGAAAGCAAGAACAGTAAAAACACTGATGGAAGTTTAATTGCTGTGTTGGTAATAAGTAAGCAGCTCAGGGAATTTGGAGGAAACACACTAACATAAAAAGGTTAGAAACTCTAAGGAAAAAAAAAAAAACCAAAAACGGAAAGGATCAGAAGACAGAAGCATCTAAGACGGGCCATTCCAAGCACAGCAGGCTTCCTCATCTTGCTGCCTCACCAGCACAGACTCCACAGGTGTCTTAAGCGAAAGGTGAACATACTGATACTTTGCCAAGCGGGCCACAAATCCTTGCTATCTAGTGAATATACTAAGCACTGAATTATTGCTGTTTACATTTACTTTGCGGGGCAATCAATATGCACGCCGGGTTACCCCATAATAACGGATGATCAGCCGGACTGTTGTTTGGGGGATTTGGCTACAGGCGCCCCAGGACACGCACGCGAGCTCTGCAGAAATCTGCTCCATCTGAGGCCCGCAGGCTGGTGCCAGCAGCTCCACGTGCCTCTGCACACCAAGCACGCGCTGGCACCGCGCTCACTGCCAAACCGGGCCAGGCACAGGCTGCTCCAACAGCACCGAGGAGGAAGATGCCAAGGTAGAAGGAAGAATATCCTCCGTGCCTGTTTTATGTATATGTGTGTGGAAAATACTTTAAGTTTCAGCATCTAGATTTTACTCTCACATATCTGTGAAATGTGTTATTTATTGATTAAACAAAAACAGTATCTGGAGTTGATGTAACTGGATACAGTGGCCAGAAAAATAATAAATTCAAGAAAAACAAGTTTTTCAGGAGCTGAATCCAATGCAAAAACAAGAAGTACCCATGATATGCCTTTGAACGCTTAAACCATGCAAGGTGACCCCAAAAAACAACCAGCACATCAAACACTTAACAAAAGTTGCCCTGAACAAGATGGAATTCAACTCCCACACAACGAAGGGGGAGGCAAGGCATCATGATTAAAGGGGAAGCAAGGCACTACAAAAATCTTTATTGACTTATGTCCTAAGTATCATTACAATCATTTTTGCATGAGAGCTATTTGCATTTTCTGTGAGTGAAAAGAAACACAGATACAGAGTTAGTAGCTACAGATACTAGCTTCAACTGTATTTGGACTGAGCTACATTTCTATAATACATTTCTAAAAGTTTTTGTTTTCAACAGTATGATTTGAAATTTTCAGCCCCCACCAAAAGAAAGAAGGCAAAGAAGGCAAAAATTTGGTATTAAAGTGATTCAGTGATTCCTGAAACACACTGTCAATGTTTTTGTTCTCTAAACACTACTTAATCAAACAAAGCACCATTTAATGCTATCACTGCTCTGTTTGCTATGCTAAGAGTCCAAGAAAACACTCGTATATGAATACTGGTCTATGGTATAGTGCTGCACTATTTCATGAAAGAACACAAGATACTAATAATGTGAAAAGAACCCTGTACCAAAGTTTACCTTTCACAGTTTGAAAAAGCCATCTACCCAACTACACTGCACCAGAAGCTCTACATACCTTCTGAGCAGCCTTTGGGCTAACATCCCAAGACTGAAGAGGGCTTTTCACTTCTGGACTTCTTCCGATAATACTGGGGCATTTTTCCAAAACCAGAGATTGTTTCTCCCGAAAACTATCCTCTCGGACTCTGTTACAGAGCTGGTCTGAATCGCTGGAGAATTCTCTCAGTCTGTCTAGAGTTTGCAAACATATGCGGGGCTTTTCACACTTCTGAGGTTCTTCTTCAGTAAAAAATAAAGAACAAAAACATATCAGGAAATTATTTTCAACTAAAAAGAAACTTGGACTCTTTGCCCAGTCTCTTTCTTCCCTATTTTCCTTTTTCCCATCGCACTCATTCTACCAGTGTGACAGAATCATGCATATGATCTGCTTTGCTATCTTCCCAGAAAGTCAGTGTTCCCTAATTGTATGCTTCTTCATATATCAAAAGAAATACAATTATTTTCCACACTGATAATTATCAAGCCACAAAATCAGTGAGGATATTGCAAGATGGATGATATTTTCCTCAGAATAGTTTTTGAGCACACAATGTTTCTAGTCATGGCCTCCCTTAAAAGATTTTTCCAACCATCTGTCATTACCTCATCAATACAATCGCACTTAAAAATTATGGGGAATAATTGCTAACAGTGAAGCATACCGCATACGTAATGTAATCAACTTTATTTTCATTGGCTATTTTCAGACTGTTAAAGTTGATTCAGCTGAAAGAGATTTGCAGAGCAAATCCAGAGCAAGGTCCAAGCAGTAACTTCAGAGCCACAGAAAGGTGATTTAACAATATTGCTAATATGCATGGAATGGCTCTTCAGAGACATATCTTGCATTCAAGAAATGCTTCCTAAAGCATCTGCTAATAAAGTTTTTATATTTGACAGTGAAAAAAAAAGCTATACTGGATTTCAGTGCATTAAGGTTTGTTTACAGTCAACGCACTTTTATCCAGAGTCTTCAGCGGGGTACAGATGTCTTCCAATGTACTCTGTAGTGCCTTGGTCTTCTTTTCACAGGGCTCATTGTTTTCAGATGATGTTCTCCTTTTTGTACCACATTCAGAAGTCTGAAACATATGTGAAACATGAGTTCAGTTCTTTACTCTCTTCGATATACAATATCGAGTCAGTAACAAAACTGAGAAATTCATAAAAGGCAATGCAAATATAATTTACAATACATAAAATTCTTAAATAAAATACCTTCGCTACACCATCTTGCAAGTGTTAAATCCGTATGTAAAATATTTCACAAAACTATCTGTAAACATACACCATCTTCCTGGGTTTGCATAAAATAGACATCTTGACTTGTCTTTAGAAGCTTTAGACACGCTCTAATTTCTAACGCTGGTCAGAAAACAGATCAGTTCATGCCATTCCACCATGGGTGCACTCTGAGCAACAGAACGTGAGAAGGACACCCAAATATAAAGTAACTTCATAGCTGCAACGACTACCACTTCTCTCGGGAGAAAGGCACTTGTGGGTGCTTTTAGCAGTTAGCTCACATTTCATGCAGGAATCTTCAGTATATTCCTACACTCCTGGGGATATCCTGACTGCTCTGCACTAACTAGGGCCTCAGCTGGAAACCATGAACAGGCCTGACAGCACAAGAGCCCGAAACCACCACGTAACACCCCCATACACACAATCCGCCTGCAAAGCAAAGAGGCTTCCCTTCCGTTACACTGCCTTCCCCACTATCCACACAAAAGCCCAACTTGGATCAAGCGCGCCGAGCCCAGCTCCCAAGTTTAGAGGATGAGCACGGAGCCCCGGTCTGCACTGTGAGAGGGGGAACCCGAGATCCCGCTCCCGGCTCCAAGCCCGTTTAAATCCGCCGCTCAGGGCTCCTCCCGCTGCAGGACACGCGCGGGCCGCCCCCGCGGCGCCTCCCTGCGGAGCCCCCGCGCCGCCCCGCGCCG